AGTTGCGTGTCGGTTACCTTAGTACAGTATAAAAAGGGGATTATACAGGGGACCTGAATACACGTGAATTTGCACTTATGTGGAGATCCCAGGAACGTAACCCTCGCATACTGTACTGCGGTCAGTACAGTGCCATCACTTTTGTGTTTGTTTTTACTGAATTTTAAGGGACAAATTGGGAACATCCATTATTCAGAGGATTTACTGTATTGTATATGTATTTATATAAGTGCACACTAATTAAGCATGTACTGTATGTATGTTGTTGTAGCTAGCTTGGGATTATTTGCAGTACAGTACAGTATTCTTTTATGTTACTGGTTATGCTAATTCATGACAATAACAGTTTCTTGTCCAATAGTATTTCAAATTTGTGGTATGCTGCTGTACCTGAGTGATTGTTAAATGCATGTTGTGGAATTGAATATTTGCATACACTGAAACCCCTCTAATTCAATAATTTTGGGGTTCTACCCTGGTTGAATTGCCCAAAGGCAATTTGGTCAGTAAATTTAGACATTTTGTCAAGATGGTGGAGGTTTTCAGCAACTCAAATGGATAATTCAGCCAGTACAAAAAACAATTGGCATCCAGTTTGCTATTATTACTCTTTATCTTATATCTACATTTATTTAAAGTAAATTTTGTTAATTCTAAAGGAAAACAAAATTTTTTCCACACAAAAGACAAATGGTACAGTACATGGAGACTGCACAAAGATGAAGTATCCCTCTAGGGCAGTGTTTCTCAAAGTTTTTCACTCCATTCCCCCCTATGAGGAACACTCAACATCCTCATGGCCCCCCTTCAGTTCTTTCCCAAGCCCCTCACAAATAATGATAAAATAAACTGTTTTGGTTCTCTTCCTTTATTTTAATGTTTTCAATCATCAAACAGAATGCATATTTTGTTACAGTTCAATGGGATGGATGACATTACCTCGAATTCTGGGAAGTACCTTTTGAGTTCACTTTTCAAGGATTTCAAGTGCTGAATTCAAGGCCGGATTCAGGAGTGGGCAAAGTGGGCAGCTGCCCAGGGGCTTCCACATATTACAATATTTTATTTATTTGTTTATTCATTTGGATTATTTTTATTTTCATTCTTTAAAATTCATGTTTATCTATTCCATCACGTAAAACTATGTTCAGCAAGAAGCGTGATAGAAATTAGGTTAGCTACTCCTTGAAATTCATGAATACCTGGTTTTCCTATGAACCGTATATTTTTAATGAATGCTATTGTTTGTGTTGCTAATAATATATTTAGAATTCCACAAACACATATTGATTAAAAATAAACCACATGGACTAACGAAATTGAGATTAAAAAAAACAAATAAAATATTTTTTTCATTATCACTTCCATTACGAATGCCATCAGGGCGCTGTGTTCTAATTTCCTCAATATGACTGCACATGGCTTCAAAATTCTCCAAAGAAGTGTTCAAATTTCAAAATTTTCCCAGGGGGCTTACAGCGCCCCCCGGAACTCCCAGATGTTTAGGCTCGCTTCACTCGCCACCCCACCCTCTTGGGTAGTTATAATGAGGGGGGGCCTCCACAAAGAGGCTACCCATGGGCCTCCACAGGTCTAAATCTGGCACTGGCTGAATTATTTAATTTTTGAGTGATGGGTCAAGTAGATGATCCTCTTCAATCTCGTCAAAAACAATTGAGATATTCTCAAACGTGGCAACATTTCCTGCACTGACTTTGCTTTGTCAATTCTGGAGTTTGTCAAGAAATGTGCGAATACAATCCATGTGGTGAAACACATTTCTTTCCTTGCCTTGTAGCCTGTTTAGTTGCTCAAATATGTCTGCCAGGTACGCAAGACGTCGCTCCCACTACATCTCGTTGAAGTGACTTTGTAGATCATCCTTCCCTTTCATTTCCTGGAACAACTTAAGTTCTCCCCGAAGTTCGAACACTCAATTCACAACATTACCCGTGGAAAGCCATCGCACTTTGGAGTAAAAGAGGAGGGTTTCATGCTCTGAATCCATGCCTTTACAGGGGTTCTGGAAAAGGCGAGAGTTCAAATCTGCTTTCACAAAGTTGACACATTTTACCACTGCCTCCAGGATCTTGCAAAGGGCATCAGGGAGGGTTTTCGATGCCAGTGCAAAACGATGGATCATACAATGAACCCCTTTGACATTCAGAGCTACTTCCTTGACGCGCTTCTGTAACCCCGATTTCGATCCCAGCATCGCCAGAGCCCCATCAGTACAGCCTCCACAACAATTTTTCCAGGTGATCCTGTTAAGTTGTGAAGAAAGAAGTCAACTTTTCTATCACATCTAAAACTGTTGTGGTAGTTTCAAGCTGTGTACAGAACAGATATTCATCCTTGATGTCACACAAGTAGCTGTGCACAAGAACTCACATCCGTTGACTCATTCAACTGTATTGCAAACCTACCAGTTGGAGATGATTTAATCTCTTGTATCACTTGTTCCATGATATCATCTGACATTTCACTAATTCTCCGTTTCACCGTGTCGTCTGACAAGGAAATCTGCCGAATCTTACATTCACTTGCCTCTCCAAGAACCCGTTTGATCATCTTTAAAGCACACGGCCTTCTTCTTTGCTATTTCAATGGAAACCTCGTATGATGCCTCAACTACACTTAAGTTCTGTTGTTGGAAGGCAACACTCTCATCCAGTCTCTGTTTTCCCAAACTCCGTTCATGGCGCTTGAAGAAAGCGGGGTCTCTCTCCGCTTACTGGGGGTGGATTGTCGTCTGATGATGCTTCGGCTTACTAGGCCTCATGGAATTGTTCCCCAGCACTTTGAAACACAACACACACTGAGGTTTCTTGATGCCATCAGCAAGGATTGATGTAAATCTGTAGTTAATATATTGATCATTGTACTTCTGCTTCTTAGTAACACTGGCAACCATTGCAATTCTAAGGAAATTATAAAAAAAACAATGCCAAACAGACAGAAACAGACGAATGATAAAGACTAAAAATTATAATAATAAAAAACAGAAATATAAGACTCATGAATCTCTTGGTTTTACAAAAAAATTTTAATCTCTCTCTCTAAATGTTGACTAGTTCTTTAAAAAACAGAATGTCACAGAAACAGATGAATGATAAATACTAAAATTTATATTGATAAAAAACAAAAATGAGAAAATTATCCGAATGGCAAACACACAAACATGCATGAAGTCCATGCATTATGTATGTAAACATACATAAAATGCCTATGCAATCACACGTAAAACATACACATACAGTCCACTCATATTTTCCCAATGATATCTTGAGCAAGACTGAGAACATTTGGTCTGATCACCACTTGTAAGGCAAAGACAGGAACTAGAATCGTGCAATCTGAGTGAATCCGTTGGAAATGAAAAACTAGCTGCTGCACCATACTATGTACTGTAAATACCCCCTCTATCAAAACTGTACCGTACGGGTATTATGATTACAGTACACAAAATGACAAAAAAGAAGAAGAAAAAAAGACAAATTTAAAAAAAACGATATCTCCCCTAACAAGGTAAAGTAACAAGAAAAGAAAGTTGAATCAGAGTTTCCACATTTTCTCCAAACATATATACTACTTACACTAGCCCACCATGGCCCCCCTAAAATCTTGCCGTGGCCCCCAGTTTGAGAAACACTGCTCTAGGGCAATGCTTGAGGCGGTGCTCCTCTGCACGAAACCACATGTTTCAATTTGACAGCTGCATGGGTAAATGGGGACAGTTGGGTCTCAGTATAAAAAATTGCTGCATAATTCAAAATTACCAAATATGTCCAAATTACTGAAGGTGAATTAGAGGAGTTGGAGTGTACAGTATTTGCATGGATATTTTTATTATCATTGTTACTGTAAAAGTTTTTAAGAAAATGAGAGCTAATGCATTTAAAATCAGTTCGTGATAGAGGAGACTGGATATTTTTCAACACGTTCAGAATGTTAGTGTCTTAGTGTTCAAGTGTAGCCAACAGTAACAAACATTATTTTCCAGATATACAGTACAGTACATTGTATGTATGTATGTTCATTATTTTTATTATTTTGTCTGTTCTATAAAAGTGTTTTTGTACATATCTGAGGCTGTTGTTTTACACAGTATTCAGGTTCCATAAACTGCCAACTTGGTGCCAAGTGATGGAAAAGTCATGGGAAAAAATCTGCGTTTGTCTGTACAGTATTGGAAAATGTTGTACCTCATCTGAAGATCAAATGTAAAGGTTTATCCTTGAGTAGAAAGAGTTCCAAATTCCATTGTAATTACAGTTTAAATTGTAGATGTATTATGTTCAAATAAAAGTGTTAGAACAAAATTTTCTTTCCAGAAGTTCAATGGCATGTATCCAACACTCTCAGTTAGGGAAGACTTTAAGAGTCACCCAAAGAAAGTAGGGGAGTAGTACAGCAAAATATTGCTCAAGGCTTTCATATATTCCTCTTTATATGACAAGTGTATGTTACTGGCAAAGTGTGAAAATCAGGCATTGTATGAAATGCCTAACCTAACCAGGTTATGGGAATAAACATGTATAAACAGGTCTCATTTCACACATTGTTGATTTTGTTAATAAACAACACTATGTATTTATCTTTGTCCTTTTAATGCTTTGCCTAAGGCATTTATATAATTTGTAGGTATTGTATAGAATGCCTAGGTAAAGTATAAAAGATCAAATTAAAAGAAACTTATTTCATACTTTGCCGAAAAGTTTCTAGGCAGTGAATGGAATGCCAAGGCATTTCATGCAATGCCTGATTTTCATACTTTGCCAGTAACATACATAATTGTTTGCAAATTTCTGGGTTATGAAAAATCATAGAATTTCTAGCTAAGTTTGTGGATACCATGTACTGTATATTGCATATACTCATGTTAATTTTCTTATACAATGTATATTGAATTCTGTGGAGCTCTTGATTTAACACCATTCTTCACACCAAATTATTAATACTATACAGTATTAAAAAGCTAACAAATTCTTATCTTACAGGCCATCCGTCGCCTTTACCCTCAAAACTTTGACCATCGGAGGGAACTGAAGAAATTAAACCATTCTATATTAGTTAACTTCTTGGACCTTTTGGACATCCTTATAAAGTGTCCAGACTCAACAAAACGTACAGACAAGATCGAGGATATCAATATTCTATTCATCAACATGCATCATCTGATTAATGAATTCCGACCACATCAGGCACGAGAGACTGTGCGAGTCATGCTTGAAATGCAGAAGCGGCAGAGACATCAGGTATGTTTTCAGTTGCACAACTACGCACAATAGCAACTTTCTTTCCCAGATTTTGTGATTTATAGAATACGTAATCCCACATAATGGTATGAGATAATCATATTCATCTATGCATTCACAATTTTCATTCTTGTTATAAAATTCTCAATTCTCTGTCTTCTGCTCCCATTACAGTTTGGCATTGATCTGAGGAAATGTTTGATTTTGCCCATCTTTTCTGTAGATTGCATTTTTTTTTTCAAATTCTGTCACTAATAATCCCTGTATTAATGCCAAAGAATTATAACAAGTTACTAACATTGACTGCTACAAGGATCTGTAGAAACAGACAAAGAAGAATGCTCCAAATTTTTTAAACTTCCATCCACAGATGAAGAGGCAGGCAATCTTGCCACTTCATCTCAATAATTCCATCACTCCCCACCTTAGCTGGCCTCTATACACAGTCTCCTTGACCATCTTGGGATTATTTTATGTTTAAATATTTACTTTTACCAATACTGTAGTAATATAAATTAGGTATTTAATTAATATATGTAAGTGAAATTATTTTGACCAGAATCTAGCTCCTGGACATAACCACTACGTATTTATATCATTAGGTCTATGGTAAACTTGTGTACACTGTACTGTAAGTTGCTTTCTAGACTTTACTTTTCATATGTATCTCTGGGTATTTCCTCAAGTTTTTGCAGTAAGTAGGGAAGCTGGATAGTGTTCTTAACTTAAAGTAGACTACAGTATTGAATTTTGTGTTCTGTTTATAAAAATAATTCAAAATGATTTTATACAGGTTGCGGAACGGTTAGAAAGACAAGAAGACGATGTGAGTAGACTTGTTAGAGAAGCTTTGGCTTCTCTTCCGGACAATGTAGACCTTGATTCAAAACTACTTGTGCCTTCCGCTGAGGAGCTCCAGTTAAGGCCAAAGAATGATGGTGGCAGTGCTGCTGAGGATAAGTGCTCAAGCTTAGACAGACTCATGTGCAATATTGTGGATGCATTGTAGAAAGATACTAAAGAATTATACATATAAACAATTCTATATTATATAAAGTATCATAAGATACTGTTGCAGAAAGTGCCACGAATATAGTAATAATAAAAGATATGATTTTGATGCAAATACAGTAATATATTTCGTGAAAGTGAAGGCTTTCACTCGCTGACTGAGAAGAATGTTGATGCAGAAGTTTTGTAACTTTTATATGTCCACATCTCGTATTTATTGCAGGAGTACAGTATATGAAGAAAAGAAAGTGTCTTACCAAATTTTACGATAGATATTATTTTGAGGATTAATTTCAGCATTATGTGAGAAAGAATTCACTACAGCAATATTATTGATAGTTCTTGAGCTATTGTAATACTGTAGTTTTATTTTGTTTATAAAACCCAATGAGATTTTATTGGGAAAGTGAAATTCAAGTTTTCTCTATTATGTCCAGTTTTAAATGTTCTGTCAAACTTATTCCAAAGTTGCAGGCTGGCTGGAAAATAGATATTTAAGGCCCACAGGTCTTTTCTTTAGTAACCTGTGAGAAAGCCTCCATAGAACACTTTCAAGCAGAGCCTGCCATATTCAGGGGAGTGTTTATATTCTGAAGCAGGGACATTGTTTTACAGGGATCACTGAAAAAGAAATGCAGAACAGCTTCACACCCAGTCTAATCATGTTTAATGTGGACAAAACCTGGTACAATAGTCCTTTGAAATTACATTCGGAAAGCGAAAAATTTCACCAGGATGAATTCTTGAAGCTGATTTGGTAATACAAGTATATTACAGTACAGTCCCTAACCATTCCTCTGTATTTAAATGAGATATTTTAGGGACTTTTGTACTGTATAGAGAAAAGCTAGTTCTTAATCTCAAGAATAGCTCATATCCACCCTAGGAGTTGTAATTTACATTTATTTTATTTCTTATTTATTATTTCACCACTTATTAGCACTGTAAACAAAGTTCTGGGAATTTAATATGATGCAATAACTTATATGGGGCCAAGCATGTTTTTCATTTTTACAGGTAATATGTATCCTTTATTATAGAATGGAAATAAGTGTACTGTATTACTACAGTAATACTGTATATTCATTATAGATGTTGGCTCAGTATTTCACTGTTCACTTTGTTACAAATCCCATCCAGTTTCTCGTAAACACAGGGATAATGTTATTACTGTACTGTACAGCATGTATTTCACATATTTTGTTTATTATTGTCTCAAAGTCATTGTGTACACCAAAAATTATCATAACATCATTTGTGGCATTTTAAGACATTTTGAGTTCATTTTATTATAGAAACTTATCTCCTAATTTATAATGGGAGTCTTTAGTAAAAGGTGATCCAATTTAAGAAATAATGATTTATGAAAAGTTTTTAAGGAATGGAACCCTTTTGTAAATCATGGAATGCCTGCACTGTACCTGTATTAACTTTTTTATTACTGTTACCTAAATATACTATTTAAAAAAAGAAACCTGTTCACTTCTGTTTAACTACATTTATTTAAGTGGCAACTATGAATCTGACATTAAGCCATTTATTAAAGATGCCATCAGCCAACTAAAGCAAGCCAACCTACTAACAAATGACCTTGAGAGAGTTTTTTTTTTTAGGTAAGTCGGGTTGGTGTTACAGGTTGTACCTCTCTAGTCCGGTAACCTCGGGACCTAACCGGTGTCGGACCATGGAAATTCACCCTTTTCCTGGATAGATAGTGACTTGTGCTTATGCTTGGAAGCACTAGCACCACTTTCTCTGCGTCATGGTCTCTTTTAAGACATATTGAAGGGTTAAATGTTGTATAGTAGCTTCTCAAATTTCACGAGTTTTTAATTCAATGTATTTTATTGGAACACACAAAAAAAATAAATACAAATTATGACGGCGGAAACTTGAATTTCGACGGGTTTGAACGGCCCGCCAACGTGCAGACGATGTGCATAATCGTGTAAACAGCGTCATTTCTCTTATGTACAAAAGATTCATTATTGTTTATTACTGAATGTCTTTTTTATTGAATTAATGTTTATGTGTGCAAAATGAGCAATACAATTCATTAATAATACGTAGAATATTAAAACACACGAGGAAATGACACAACATTGTTTTCGTTGATTACAAAACCAGTGACTGACTGGTTCTACATATAAAACTGAAGAAAATAAGACTGGTTGTAGCTGTAGTAAAATTAATATGGTTGTTTTAAGTAATGTTATTTAATGTTAATAAATGGAACAATAGAAGTAGCTAACGATAATGATAAAGAAAAAAGAGAGATCGCGTATGTAAATGCGTACACGTGAAAACATATCATCATTACTTTACATAAGAATATGAAAGCAACACTTATTTACTGTTCATATATATTATTATTAATGTTTCTGAATTTGTTTTTATTGAATTAATGTTTGTGTGTGCAAAATTAACAATACAATTTATTAATAATACGTGGAATATTAAAACACACGAGAAGACGAGACGGCTGCCGGCATTGTTTATGTTAAAGCTTACAAAACCAGTGACTGATTGGTTCTACATATAAAACTGAAGAAAATAAGACCCTGATTGTAGCTGTAGTAAAATTAATGTAAAAAAAATAATATGGTTGTTTTGAAGTACCTGTAATGTTATTTAATGTTAATAAATGGAACATTATAAGTAGCTAACCATTAATGGTAAAAAAAAGCGAGACTGCGCGTATGTAAGTGCACACATGTGAAAACATATCGTCATTACTCTACATAAGAATATGAAAACACTTATTTACTGCTCATATATATGGAAGGGTTAAATGTTGTACTCTGTATAGACAAGCAGAGAGAGAGCAGCCGAACTGCCGGATGTAAACAAACCTTAATTTCCCGCGGCTTTGTTGTTGTTGTTTTTTTACGGGGATTAGCCCACCCGGGCATAGGTCACTGACCCACATTGGGGCCTGAGGGGCAAAAATTTAATACTCCTGTAATAATAATAAAAATTCAGATAAGTAAAAAAAAAAAAAAAAGCTGCCTATCTACCTATTGGACAAAGTAAAATCGTTCCGGACCACAGAATGCCGGACTAGAGAGGTACAACTTGTATTGGGTTTATTTTGTTTATTTTGCCATTTTAAAAGACATAGACTTTGGGATATCTTTGGGGCACAGAAAAATTAAAATGCATAAATTACAGTTCACGAGGTAAACTTGGGTAGTTCCTGAGGTAAAGACCAACTTTTCTTTTTTACAAAATCTTTCTTAAATATCTAATTTATATACTGTACTGTATTAGATATTACTGGTGATCTACTTGGTTTGTGTCTGCACTCTTGATTCCTTATGAAATTGAATAAGCAAAGCCTCCTCTTCAGGTTCTCTATGGTATTAGTTGGCAAAATAGTCTTGTGCCACAGAAAGGATTTATGAATAAATTAGATGTGATTGATGTTTGTTGGTTATTTTGACATCTTGATGATTCACTGTGCGAATGTAAATATTGTTGTGATAACCATAATTGATGCCTGATGGCTGACTAACTGTAGGGCCAGTTTACCCCACTTAACATGCTTCAGTCACAGCACCACTACACACCAACTCAATCTTTCAGAATAATTGAAGAAATAGTTTCCTTGCACAAGGTTTAACAAGGGATACAGTTTAACACTGTATCCCTCGTTTAACAATGGGGATGCATTCCTGGAAACTTAATGTTAAGCAAAATTATCGCATAACAAGAAATAATATCTGTGGAGATGGCATGTTTCCATTGTTACATGTACGTAATGAAACTATAAAAGTTGTGGAGTAATCTTTACAATACTCTAATGTGGCTAAGAAATAAAGAAAATATAAAATAAAACTATAAAATAAGAAAAATTAAGAGCATGGGTGTGCATACAGTGGAGTATGCTATAACGAACGGATCCTACTACGAATATTCCTATAACGAACGGTTTTACCTATAAAATTGAGAATGCTATAACGAACGAAACTCCTACAATGAACATTTTTTTATTTTTTTTTTATTTTTTTTACTAATTTATTGTTTTTTTATTACAAGTATTAATCATAATCTTTATTTCAGGGGTTTAGATGCATATTTATGCACTTTTTTACAATATTTACAATTTTATATTATATTTTTCAGTGTTAAGTGGTTGTATTTGGGGGCCTGGAACGGATTAATCCTATAACAAACGAATGCTATAACGAACAAAGTTCTAGAACCAATTAGATTCGTTATAGCATACCCCACTGTATATGGCAAGTGATCATATGTGTGGGGTCGTGGAGACAGTGGACAGTAACTATGCCACTGAGGCGTCGACTCACCACCTAGTAGTGCTGTGAACTATGTTATGGTTATTTTTCAACTCCTAATTTGGGGTTGGTATATACCGGGTAATAGGGGTATAACTAAGTGAAAGAAGGGGATGGTAATGAGTAATTTGGAAGTATTAAATGTAACAGTGTTATTTGGTCCGTACTGTACTGTATTATGGACTCGGATCTTTGTTCAAAGCAGTTTTAGTATTTATGCAATCTACTGGGAAGCTTGACTGGGCATGAGCATTCGAGTCATTATCATTATTTTACGGCCATTATCCACACTTACATGTGTTAGACATGATTACCTGGTGGCAGCTCTCCAAGCTACAGACTCATTTGGCTCTTATCTTTGAGGTAATTTCTCACAACCTCTCCCCATGTCACCCTTGGCCTACCCTAAGGTCTCCTCCCCTCCACATTCAAAGTCATACATCATTTGACCCAATTGGTTTCTTCCATTCTCTCCACATGCCCAAACCATCTCTGCCTGCCTTTACAAAAACCTTGCCAATCCTCTCAATACCCAGGCACCCTCATAACTCTGAACTGGGTTTCATATCTCACATCATCATTATCACCATATTACATGGGTCATATTACATATCCATCTTACCATTCTCATTTCATCTCACTCAGGCTATGTATGTCATCCTCATTAACTGCACATGTTTCAATACTATAGAACAACACACTTATGTTGGTAAGATAAATTTTCATGATGGTGAAAACCATCAGCAATAGGATGTGTACTGCTGGAAAGAGTTGAATTTGGTTATTAATTTGGAGTAAGAAAAGGTTAGGTTTTTTAAAGTAAGATATGAGGTAGCTACTTTCGCAATGATTGATAAATAATCGTAGTGTGAACTGTGGTGGTTGGAAAGAATAGAAATGAGGAAATTCAGAAAATTAAAGAATATGGGAAACCATAAAACAGAAGTTTAACAAGGAGAGAAAGATGCCAAACCTTATCTCTAGTTTTGAAAATACCAAAAAGAAGAAGAAATTTACTAGGGGTATTTCGAGCAAAGCCAAGGATTTGAATGAAGAGAGCACACAGGCTTTAAAGTGGAACAATTTTGAGAATCAAAGAAGTTTGGTGTGTTCTTCAAAGTGTACTGTACTGTATTGGATAATTTTTTTTATTTTTTTGAGGTGTAAGAGAGGTTAAAAAGTTTAGAGAGGACTTGTTTCTTCAGGAAATACCTGTACTGCACATTTAATAAACTTAAGCATGTTTATTTCTGGTCAAGGGAACTGGTGCACACACTATTGAATTAAGGTTTTCCTATTGCTATTCTTGGACTCATTTGAGTAACTACGCAGTTTGTGTTCTGTTTACTGATCCATATAGGACAGTGTCCCTGCTTCAGAAGGTAGGCAGCTTCCTGGATAAGTTAAGTGTCCTAAGAAGTGTTTTGTAACGGAATCTTACAGGTCAGTGATTCTGCCCTATTCCATAGAATGGGATTTCCAAGTTTACTTTACCTTTTCTTTCCCCTGTATATTTATCAGTATATTTTTATAAGTGAAAGTTGTCCGAATAGCATATTAATTTCTAAAAAAATAAATAAACAAATGTCACACTTGGTTATTGTTAGGACTATTCAAATACTGTATGAAGGAAGATTTTTTTCATGTACAAGTACATTTATTGTATCAAATTATAAGTGATATGATTTCATAAATGCTGTGTTCTAATAAGTAACCAAAGATTTTTATGTTGGTTTCACCTTTTTTACATTATACTGTATTACATTAGCTGTTATTTCAGTGTAAGATCATGTTTACTGTCAGTTATATTTTTCATTTATAAAAAAGACAGTATCTTGACAGGGTGTAAAAATTAGTACAATAAATGTCAATATTATGCAGAGTAACTGTGTACTGTATTAAAGCCAAAATTGAAATTAATTCTGTGTATATGTTTGACTGCCTTTGTATAGATGTGCATTTCATATTTTTAAAAATTGATGCCAGTTTAGAGCAACTTGTGAATACTCTCAGTGTATTATTACTTAGTTAAACACATGTAAAACAATGTAGGGGTAAAACATCCACTCTAACTTTACACAATACTGTACCAATATCTACATGGCCAAACTCAACCCAAGTGTCAAGGAGGCATGCATGTGGTCTCATTTCTAACTAGAAGAAAAGTAAGACAGACAACTTTCTCCTCAGAGATTGGCAACTGGAGTTAAGGGATTTATGACTGTGAGCCTAGTACAGTATATGATACTATCGGATGAAGATTAGTTTCTGCACTGGAGAATATGAGGTGTATACCATCACATCTTTACCTTCGATATCTTAGTGGAAAATTGTGACCTTTAATCTTTCAATTGTTAAGATACGGTTGTCACAAGGGAGTGAAGCGATCTTAGGATTGCCACCAGATGAACAATGCTGAGGTATTTACTGGAAAAATCCTACAAGGTTTGGTGTGCAGGAGCTAAAAAAAATGAACAAAACTAAAAAACGTAAATTCACCGAAA